TTTTTTGAAATTTTTTTGATTCATTGAATAAAATAAAAGTAATTATATTAGAACCTTACTGTAATTAAGAATTGCTCGGGTGAAATGGGATAAGATTTAATGTACTTCAATAAAATATAGTATCAAGCATATTAAATTTCTAAAAAAAATCAAGTTTGACTTAAAAATACACTACTATATATATTTTCACATAAAATCTTAATACAACCTAGAAAATTTATTATGGCTAAAGAATTATATTTATGTAATATAAATTAATTTTAAAAAACTATATATACGATTATTTTTTATCTTTGAAATAAAAAGGTTAACCTTTTCGATAAAAAATAAAATATACATATATAGGCATAATATTATCTTTGTACATGAGATGAATAATATTAGATTGATGAAATTTTTAAAATTTTTTTGAAAACTTTATTGAAAATATAATTATGCATATTTTTTTAAATTTATGGCTATCTATGAGATTTGATCTGCTATGTTTTCGAGTTCCATGGTTTGGGTTTTATAAGCGAGAATCAAGAATTTCCTCGGATGGGTTGGATAAAAAATTCCAGTCTAATATAATATAAATATACATCAGACAAGATTAAATGAGTTATTAGAATGATATGTAATTTTATCTAGTATTTGATAATACATAATATAAGCATTGGATAATAGTTATTTAATCCAAATTATTGTTTGTTTAGGAAATTATTTCATCGTATTAATATTGAATTGACAAAAATACCCTCAATCAGTATTTGTTATATTGATGACAGCTTGATTTTATCAGTTATGAGGTTATAACAGTAAATGTATACATTGATACATTTGAGGTGGATTATAATACCTTCTCTTTTTGTGATATTAATATATCCCCATAATATAAGTCTATGGCATAAAAAAATATACGATTAGTATACGTTTTTGAAATTAATACATAATCAAATTTGTCTACCAAACAAAGTATTAAACTCGATTAAAAAATTTTAATTTATTTTGATTTCTTAATACACCCCTTAATATTACAACCAAATGGCCTCTATGGGTACAATTATTAATCAATTCTAATCATACATATTTAACTATTTATTACTAGATATTTTAGAATATCATAAGTCATGGTGGATAGAATTGAAAACTTACTTTTATATCCTCTTTACCTGGCCAAAATATCAAAATTAGGGGTGTTCACTCTATCATACGGGTAGAAAATATAGTTTTTCGTCATCTTACTCAATACTTTATAAAAAAAAAATTTCTTGGCCTATCCTGCCCGATTAGATGTGGTATTCCTACCCGACTTCGTACTCGATTAATCGAGTATCAAGTTTGGTAAACACTTTTGTAACTATTAATTTTTGGATCATTTTAACAATTCAATTAAATAACATTCGTCAATTTAACAACACAATAAATCAATAACACTAAAACCTAAAACAATTACCCAATTTTTGATGTTAACTGGATAAATTTTGAAAGCTTAAAAAAAACAGAAAATGTCTGAACGATGCTTAAAAAAAAACAGAGAAGTCTTGAACGATGCTTGAAAGTTAGGGTTTTGAAGTTCATTAATTTTATGCTTAAAAAAAATCAAATCTGTAGATGAAGGCCTGAATAATGAAGGCCACCAAATTATGCCCAAACACAGAGAGAGAGAGAGAGAGAGAGAGAGAGAGAGGGTACTTTTTAAGTTTATGGCTATCTATGAGATTTCTGCCACCTACTTTTTTTGGTTGTTAGGTTGTATTTATGCTTGAAGACATGTCAAAATGCCATCTCAATGTGTTCCATAAAACCACATCGCTTATAAGAAATGTAATTTCTAACGGCTCAATATTCTCTCAACAAAATCATAATAAACTTGGAGACTATATGATGATAACGTGAGGACAATCCCACCAATAGGTATCAATACAAGAGGCATCCCCTCGTAAACGAGGAACAACTACCCAATTATAATATTTATAATAAGAACTCCATCTTCTTCCCAAGCAAATGGAAAAGCGCCCAAAGAACAAGAACTTCATTAAAATGAGTTAGTCAAGTTATTTAGTTGGTGAACCACTATAATATGTGTGTTTGTACTTGTTTTGCAGCTTTTACCTCTGTTCTATGCTTACAATAGCATCTCACAGAGTCATCAATCTCAACCTTAGATCAATTTCTTCTACATTGTTCATTCACACACTATTTCTAAATTTTGAACTCTTTAGTTCAAGCACTCATATCACATTTCGAGTTCATATATCACCATATAATAAAAAAAATACAAATTTATCATTTTATGTTAATTGTGCACTTACTGAAATCTAAGAGTTTACATGGACAATATGATCGTTTTGATAGTTTTCATTATCGGAGTAGGCCAATATCAATAAGTATCAAAGAGCAATGCTCGTAACATTTGCTAGCTCTATCAAAGTTGACTAGTATCGTTTGATACTAGACCCTAGTAGGCTAGTATCAAAGAGTGATGCTCACAACAATTGCTAGCCTTATTGAAGTTTTTATTAATGGCTAAAATGGTACTTCAATCTATCTTATTTGGTTTTTTATTCAACAGTCAAGAGTATTCAGGTTAATTTACGCACATTTGGACTATCTTCTTTCCACTCTAGTTAAAGGCAGGTCATACACGTCGAAACTAGAGTATTTATAAGAAACTTATAATCTGGCTCCAACGAGTTGTCAGAATTTAAATTAAATACGTCTGAGTTTATAGTTTGTTTCTATTACAACTTAAACTACCCTTGAGATTTCTAAAAAATAATTTGTGGTGGTCGAAGCAATCACTTTTCAACATCAACATAAGAGAAATTATTATGTGCTTCTAAGATACGAGGTCGCACTATTATGTGGTGTTTATATTAAATAAAAAAGGGAAAATTATATTTAAACTCATGAGGTTTGTCACTTGATGACTCAAACTCTTTGACATTAAAAATATTACACACAAATTCCTTAAAGTTTTTACGAACGTAACATTTAGACCTCTGTCATCAATGTCCGTTAGTATATCCGTTAATAAATTATATTCAGACTCCCTGAAGTTTGTAGGCATGTAATATTTAGACCCCTAAAACTTAAAATTTTGTACTTAAACGAAAAATACTTCAATCAAAGATAGAATATCATATATTTTAAATTTTACAACCAAAATTCTTGTTTTATTATGACATTTATTATAATAAAATTAAAAATAAAAATCTATTTTTTTTAAAAAAAATCATAATTAATATATAATTGTACCAACGAGCCTATGATTCAATAGTACTTATTATCTTGTAAAGGCTTTGAGGTCAATGATTCAAGTTCACTTCCCCTTTCCCCTACCCCTCCCAAAAAAAAAGTATATAATAGTACTATCATATATTTTTTGGCTTTTTTTTTTTTCTAATGTTGACTTAATTATCAGTTAGGGAGAATAATTGGTATAAAAAAAATTATATTAGCAATGAATGTCTTCTATCTATGAATAAAGATTTCTCCCCAAATTCAAACCTTGATTGTTATACCTTGCTAAGATGAAACAGGTTCTTTTCCCTGAGTTTTTTTTTGTTAGGGGTAAAGGGAAAGGGATTCGAACTCTTAACTTTAAGAAAATAAAATTTTCACAAAACAAGGAGTATAATTAAATTAAAGACCTGATAAAAGATAATATTTTTTTAGCTAAAGGTTCAGCTCCAAGTCCAAGTTCGGCCGGATTGTGGTCATGGCCAGGTGGGCGACATGTGTGATAACCACGGTTGTATAGGCGCTTGTTCCGTTCACAAAAATATGATACCCTTAAAGTCCAAATAAATAACAGACTCATCATCCAATTCCCTTCCCTGAGTTGTTTACATTATGCTCCGTTAAAACATTGTAAAATTCTGTAATAATAATAAGTTGTTGTTCAAGTTTACTGGGAGTGAGAGTCGGTGGCTGTTCACTCTCAGAATCTTCTCATTGCATCATCGATTTGAACTTCACTCATATCTTTGGCCCAGCCAGGGGGCGAGAACCGGTGTCTCTTCACCCTCAAAATCTTCTGACCGCATCATCGATTGCAAGAAGGGTAGTACTACAATACTGTTAGGGTGCTAACTCAAAAAGATTTGTGGCTACTGATTTTTTTTCCCCTATAGGGAAGTATAACTATTTATTTTGGTTTGAATAAGTTGTTGCAATTGATTGTAAAATATAAAATAATAAGATAAAGGTAATTTTACGTTGTGTTACCTTTTGTTGAACAAAATGTGGAGGCATGCTACTAAAAAGTAATTTTTTTATACCAAGTGTTGTTTATGGTACTCTACCGACATTTATTACATTTGTAGGTGATTTTACCACTACTGTGTGGTACCGAAAAAAAGTATTAAAAATTTTTACCATTACAGTGATAAAAATATCCACAAAAATGGAAATTTTTTTGTATTAAAGAAAAGTGGTAAAAATAATTAGCTGTAAAAACACTTATGAAAATGGTAAAAACAACTATAAAAGTAATAATATTTTGTCATAAAAATATTCATAAAAATAATAAATTACCCACAAAAAAATTCGTTACCATAGTCAAATCCTTCAAAAAGGGACACAATAAAATTCCCAGAGGGAAACAAGTCCACGGGAACATAACTAATTGTGGAGAAAATATTCAGTACTTGGCAGGTACCATTCATCACCAATCAACAGATATCACCTCAAGGTAGATAGTGGAGAGAGAAAAATTGAATGAGAGCCTACATTGAGGTGGCATCTCGTGATTGATGCTGAGTACCAGTTATCAGTGACAGCTTGGTACCTATCAATAATCGAATATGAAGTGGCATCTGTTGATTGGTGATAAGTACCAACTGTCAATGACAGTCTGATACCTGCGAAGTGCCGAATATTTTCTCCTAATCGAGGCTTGCCTTTGGTAATAATTAATTCATTGAACTAAGTCAAAAAATCAAGGGTTACCAAGTTGACTAAGTATAATTGTCATAAATTCTGAACATTATTACTTTTAAGTAGAATTTGAGAATCACTTGATATAGCAATTAGGAGTACAATATAATTGCTCATAGAGCTTATAACACTCGGGAAACGGTACTCACTCTCTCTCTCAGACACACACAGATAGAGAGGCTCAACCCTTTGACAAACTGAAAAGTTGAATTGCATAATCCATATATAATATGGGTTGGATTGATCAAATGCAGAGCTCTATCTGAGCTTGAATCTTATTATACAAAACTCTGGTTTTGAGACTAACAATATTATCTGGTGATGTGAGCAATGAAAGAATCCACGTCCAGGCGAGAAAGGCCGCCCTCCTCCACCGACTTCCGAACAGCACCACCCAATTCAGCCGCTCTCTTCCTCATCTCTTCCCCTTCGGCCGGCACCATCAACCTTTTCACAGCTTTTTCCACCATTAATGAGCTCACAATCTCATGTCTCCGAGCCCAATCCTTCACCACCACACCCACTTTCAGCACCTTCGTTATCAGCAAAGCGTTGCTTGGTTGATCCGAATGCATCGGCCAAGTCGCCATTGGCACCCCCATGCTTACGCTCTCCAAGCATGAATTCCATCCACAGTGACTCAAAAACCCACCTGTAGAAAGATGACAAAATCTCCGCAAGATAAATACAATTGAAAGTGAACTATTTAATCAAATATAAAGAAAATATGGCATAGGGCTTCTATTACGGTTACTGTAGAGTTAAGAGAGTGTCGGATGTATGCCGCCTTAGTCGGGTAAAGACTATTTCCAATTGAGACCCCCCACCTTATTAAATCAAATATAAGAAAAAGTGAAACCAAATCAATGTGAAAATTGAACATGTATTTTATTTTAAGCACCACCTGTGGAAGGATGTCCCAAAATCTCTAGCTGAGGTGCCCAATCTGTCAGCACCATTCCTCTTCCTTTCACTCTCTCTTCATACCCTTCTGGCAGTTCAGATCTTTTTACCTCTCCTGCAGACATGTCTCCTTTATCTGCATCTCTCAACACCCAGATGAAGTTTTGCTCGCTTTTTTCTAACCCAATCGCGAGCTCTTTGATTTGTTCGTTAGTTAATGAAGTGGTGGTTCCAAATGACACAAATATCACGGATTTTGGAGGCTGTTTGTCAAGCCAATCCAAGCATGGGTGTTGTGGTCCGTTTGAATTTTCTTTTTTGGGTATCTCCACAGGATTGAATGGCCCAATAACCCATTGCTTAACAGATCCTATAATCTCTTTCTTTGCAAGTATATCAAGGTAATGATTTTCTATGACTCTGCATGAGTTATGAAGACTTCCAGAGTTGAATTCTCTGTAATTATCTTGGGCTACGGCAAACTCCAAGAGCTCTGGTACAAAACAGCTCTCGAAGCTTGGAGACTCTTTCAGTATTTCGGGTTCAATCGGGACAGGTTTTCTTGTGGCTTCCCAGGAGAATAAGGAGGTAGAAAAAGCTGACGTACTTTGAAAACAGTAAGACTCTGCGTTCGATATTGAAGGGACGTCCTGGACCACGGAAGCCATTAAAGAGTCATGAATAACGATGACTCTTTCAGTTGTGGCGGAGAGTGATCGGAGAAGAGAACCGACTGGCTCTCGAAGACTTAATGAGGCTCGAAATGATGGTAAAATTTGAGAGGGGTAGGGGGAGGAGGCATTAGGGTCTGGCGGAGGACAGACAAAGGAAGGGATTGGGAATTCATGGAAGTGGATGTTGGTGGTGGCGAGAGGGTCCCAACCTTGGACTCGAAGCTTGACTTGGCGGCCGTGGGTGGTGGGGGTCACGTAGTGGACTGGTATGTTGTAGGCGGTGATGAGGCGGGAGAGGTGTAGGAGCTGGTTGAGATGGCCTTGAGCTGGTAGTGGCACCATTACTACTACTACTTGGGTGTCTTTTTGGCCGTTTTGACCATGGTTGTGGTGGTGTTGATTGGCCATTGTGGTAGTTTATGGCGATCTACGAGATACGATCTGCAATTTTTTCGCGTTTCATGGTTTGGGATTTATAAGCTAGAATCTAGGATCTAGAATCTACGGGACAATTATTAATCAATTCTAATCATATCAAAAGAGAACCATTTTATACGGGTGATGATGAAAGGCTGTAAGGATCATTATCTCTTTTTAATAAAATATAAATCAAGTGAATTTGACATTTTTATTCTTTTTCAATTTTTATAGTCAAAATGTAACTATTGGAGTTAATTACAAATTATTTAAATTTAAAATGAATTATTTATTAAATTAAAACCTGAAGAAGTGAATTACAAAATATCTAAAGTCGAATGGAATGAAATAATGTATGTGGGTAGGATATTTTGTACATGGGTTTGGATAAGAAAATCTGTTAGAGGGGCGTGTGACAACTGACACCTAATATGTCATTTATTTAGATATTTTTTCAACCCCTTTAAATATTTGCACGTCTAATTATATATTATAGAATTATTAATTTTTATTTTATTAAATGAATTGATTAAATCACTTATAATATTATTATATTACTATATACCAAAAAAATAAAAAATAACATATATTTGACGGTATAAACTTTACTTCTTAATATAGATATAGATAATTATATGTAACTGTACTACTAATAAATGAATTTAAAAGAATTTAGAAATCCTTATAAAATAGTCTAAAATAAATTAAAAATTAAATAAATGTAAAAAAACAAAAATGAGATAAAAGTATTTATGTGAGTATAATTGTCTTTATTATAATAATTAAGGATAACATAAAAAATTAAAAAAAAATTACAGACACTAATATTTATAAATAGCATAGATATAAATGTAGATGAATCTCACTTATACTTATAATATATGATTTACCCTTAAAATATTGAGAAAAAAATCAACTTTTAAGGAATTCAAGTCCGAATGGATAAGTCACATTCTTGTCTTTTTAGTAAGTAGTTAAATAAAAAAATATGTTTTTATCCTAAAAGCCTATGTGCCTTCATGTATATATAAACGTTGAAGACAGTTTTTAATATTATTTTTTTTGATTAAATATTAATTATTTATTTTAACAGGGTAAAGGCGACAATTTTTATTATTAACTATCATTACCTTAAGTTAAAATAGAAATCTGTGGTGGATTATCAGATGTATACAGATGTCTTTTTTGGAACCATTTGCCTTTTCAAGTCACCTCAACCATGCACCGAGGAACATTAACTCACCGTTGAAGGAGTGATCAGGGTGTATTATTGATGGTGGTGATCAGGGTGTATTATTGATGGTGGTGGTTAGGGTGTATTATTGATGGTGGTGATCAGGGTGTATTATTGATGGTGGTGGTTAGGGTGTATTATTGATGGTGGTGGGGCAACCGATTCAGTTGGGTATATACGTCACTGTCTCCCAAAGTTGAAGGGGAATTTTTAGGGTAGGATACTCACGAGTCTTATGATTCGGCCGGAAAAAAATAAATTCGAAATTTGATTGGTCTGATAGTTGATTCATCTAAACCCAACATCCTTAAAAAAAAAAAAAGGGTTTAAATTTGCTCCTAAGCCCATTATCCGGCCCAAAGCCCAGCCCAAGAATTCGCCCGCCTACCAAGCCCAACCCATCCACATAGTCCGTCCACTCTTCATTTGAAAAAAAATTATATTTTTAAACCAATAAATTTAAAATTTTGAAATAAATCTCTCAATATCAAAATTTGAAATTTTAAAAATTTAGATACTATAAATAATGTATTATTTTATTTTTCATATATTAAGTATATAAATTTTAAAGGGTAAAATAATTCAAATAATAGATAACTGAATAAGTGTTAACCTGGTTGGGATATATTCATTTTATTGGATGTAGTTCATCCTCTAATTAAAAATAAAATTATTCATTATTTTATTTTTATCTATGAATTCAAAAATATAATTTACACAAATATTAAATTACAAAAATATTCATAATTTTTAAATGAAATTGTATATAAAAAACCCGCGAGCAGGCCCTACCAATAGGCTCACGAGTTAGGCTACGGGTAGCCTACCCCTACCCGAAGCTCAGCCAAGCCCGTCCGCCAAAAAACTTACTTGGGTAAGGATTTTGACCTACACTATCCAAGCTCTGCCCAAAAAAAATTTCGCGGGCCTGGCCCGACCTGGCTCATGAACACTCCAAGAAATTTGCTAGAGTTGGGCCCCAGGGCCGAAGACATATATAGCAGTTGAAAATTTTATTTATTGTTTAAAAATTAAAATTTTTAATAGGTTATATTAGTATTTTTTTTTAGAGTTATTTATATATACGATGTTGTTTTGAAAAGTTTTTATATATTTTTATAATAGTTTCATTAATATAGAGGATATGGTCGACGATATATTTCGAACTATTTTAAAAAAAAAATTAGTATGAATATTTTTAGACTATTTCTTTTGAATTTAAACAATTATTTTAAATTTTTTTTGTTTGTTATATAACACCTCCGTATACAAACAATTGCTAATTATATAGTATAGTAGAAAGAAGAATGTGATGAAGTCAGAACGAAAGTGCAAGACAGGACAGCAAGAGTAATGCACCGAACTTTTTCGCACCAACTGGTCAAACAAAAACTTTGTCACCTAATTTTTGTCCACCAAATTTTTTAGCTTGTATTTTTGGTTCATGGTGGAAACATTTTATTAAATTAATATAATAGGCCATTTACGTATATTTTGAAAACTTAGTATAATATTATGAGGAGAGCAATGAGTCCTTTATAGTTAAAAAGCATATGATACCTAACTTTCGTCTTAGATTGTTTGACCCGGCAACCACCGTCATTGGATCCTAGAGAATCTTTTTGTATTATGTAATGAGTGTAAGAATTTTAATGATTCTTATATAAAATTTAGAATACTTTGATGGGTCAGATCCAAGAGCCTAACTCATGTTACGAGCTCAGTCTTAATTAAAAGTCTAAACTTATAAATATCCAATCTTTAGTTCAAAGGGATCCACACTCGGTCAAGCTTGCCAAGGGAGTGAGCAAGGTCTTCAAGAGCCTCCTCCTAGTCACTTTCCAGTAAGCGTCATTCAAAAGTCTCATCCTAGTCATTTTGGAGTAAGGGTCATCCCAAGAACATCCTCCTAGCCAACCTGGAGTAAGGGTCATCTCAAAAGCCTCATCCACGCCGTTTTAGAAAAAGTCAACCACCACCTCCTCCTTTGAACGAATCTTATGGAGAATACCGTAACTATCTCACCCGTTAAGAAGAGGTCGTCAGCTCCACCAGATTAGCTACTTAGTTACTATAAAGTCGCCCAAATCTATTAAGAAACGACTATAAATTATAAGTCTCACTAACACTTGAGGGGCAAATCACACTCAGTTGAGCACAACTCTCCTCTCCCTCTCTATGCTTGTAACTCTCAACTCTCCTTATGCACTTGAGTGAATAAAATACCCAGTGATCATAGCTATTCAAAGTGGACGTAGCCCACGTTAACTGAACCAGTATAAACATTATCTTCTCTCTCTATTTATTTACTACATTTAATACTGTTTATTTGACAAGTGGTGTGCAAAGCCAATTTGTACATCATCAGTTTGACGCCGTCTGTGAGAACGACAAAATTCTCACCTAATTACCTTTCTTGTTGTACCAATGGTGATCACCACCAGATCCATGAATTAGGCTGAAAATAATTCAACACGAGAGGAAGAGGTTGCTTCTCCACCAACCAATCTCGTTCCAAATGTACAACAGATATTAGAAACAATGCAGCAGCTTGTAGCTCAAAACCAACAGATTTTGTAACTGATGATTGCTAGACAATAAGGAGGAGCATAGCCTGTGATACCCCAAGCCAGAGGAGCTCCACGCCCTGTGCGTCAAGGAACTTCTCACTTGGGCGCCCCCTTGGGTTCCCCATACAGGGGAGCCCATTATAAGGGACCTCCACCTCCACCTCAAACTCCTTCTTCCAGAGATCCCCATTTTCAAGAGGATGAATGTGAGAATTAAAGTGTGAAGTATGAAAACCATTTTCATGACAATTTCAAAGGAACCCTAAATCACTGGAACGAAAAAATTAAAAAAATACAGAATCAACTGGGCGACGTCTTCAATGCCATGAAAGAACAAAGACTAGAAACCATGGACTACCTTGTAAGGCCAATTGACACCCCTTTTATGCCATATGGGGCAAACTACCCTCTTCTCCAAAAGTTTAAAATGTCATCTATAGAAACTTTTGATGGTACAAAGGACCCACTTGATCAGCTAGAAACCTACAAGACTTTAATGCAGCTGCACAATGTCCCCGACAAAAATATGTGTAGGGCATTCTCAATTACCTTGAAGGGATTAGCGTGACAATGGTTCACCAAACTCACCCTAGCCTCCATAGGTTTCTTCGCCAAACTAAGCAGATCATATGTGACATAGTTCATTGGTGGACGCCGCCAGCAGAAGCCTGCCACCCATATGCTTAGCGTAAAACAGGATTGAGAGGAATGTCTGAGGAGTTACCTCACTCATTTTAATGAGAAGGTCCTCCAAATCGAGGTGTCCAATGACAAAGTCACCATGACCACCTTTCTAGGAGGCCTTCGCTCATATAATTTCCTCTTTTCAGTAATGAACCGACCACCAAAAAATATGCCAGAACTATTGGTAAAAGTTTAAAAATATATGAATGTTGAAGAACTATTGGTAATCATTTCGCGGATCACCAAAAGCTTGACATGCCTCTGCACTGCTCTCAAGTAGGCGGCCTATATATCCAGCTTAGCTGCTCTCTCGCGGGTCTCCAAAAGCTTGGCTTCTGCACTGCTCTCAAGTAGGCTGCCTATATATCCAACTTAGCGGCTCTCTCGCGGGTTACCAAAAATTTGGCCTATGCACTACTCTCAAGCAGGCAGTCTATATCTCCAGCTTAGCGACTCTCTTGTGGGTCGCCAAAATCTTGGCCTCTGCTCTGCTCTCAAGCAAGCAGTTTATACCTCCAGCTTAACGACTCTCTTATGGGTCACTGAAATCTCGGTCTTAAAAGGTGCAACTCTCACATGAGCAATTCCCAAACTCTATCTTTGCTCTTACGCAAACAGTCTGCCTCTCTTTCTCTCTAGGTAATCGTATTATATATTTTTTTATATTGGAATAAC